TGGTTTATTGGAGATAGGAGTCTCACGGTCTCTCCTGCCCGGGCTGGCTTTGAACCGAGATCCTCAGATCTCAGCCTCCTGAGTAGCTAGGATTACAGGTGTAAGCCACTAGCGCCCGGCTATTTAACCACTTTAATATGTATAATTCAATGGCTTTTAGTAAATTTATGTTAGGCGGCTATCACTATATATATATAAATACTTACACTATATATACACTTGCATATGTATATATGTGTGTGTGTACATACATACCTATATAAGTATATACGTATGTATGTTCATTATATATACATTCAAAGTTGTAAAATATTTTCATCATTCCAAGAAAGCCCTGTGCTCACTAAGCAGTAACTTCCCATTCCTGTAGACCCAAGAAACCACCAAGAATGTGAACTTCCAAGCTGCACTGAGAAATTTTAAAGATATTTGGAGAACCAAAGATTTGCTTCTAATCACACGCATAGTTTTATCCAAAAATCATTAAAATTCTAATTTTATTACCATTTATGTACATTGATACAAATATTAAAAATTGATAAAAACATGTCCAAAGCTTCCTAGTCAATGTACAAATACTCATTTATATTTTGTAATTAAAAATGAGAAAAATACAGTAGTTATAGCTACATAAAAGTATGTACAAGATTCAAGACAGACTTTGTTATTTGGTTTATAATGTGTAGATACTACACAAAAGTGAGGATATAAATTTTCAAAAAAGTAGGATGTGACCAAAATTCCTTTTAAAATTTAAAAATACAATTGCTAATAATGTTAATTTTGTTAGTCATATCTGAGACTATTTAAATTAGCTAGAATTAGGTAAGTTAAACATTACTATTTTTTTTGTAGTGCTGAGGATTAAACCAAGGGTCTCACAAATGCTAGTCAACACCCTATCATTGAGCTACATACACCCTTTTCTTCAACATCATGCATCTAAAAATTGCAGTTTGCATTTAAAATATATATTCAATATCATCTTCTCAAAATTAATCACTGATCTAGCCCAGTGCTGCATGGTTCATATCTATAAGGCTACAACTCAAGAGAACTGAGGATTGTGGTTTGAAGCCAGCTGGGGTAGAAAAGTCAAGAATCTTATCTCTAACCACCAAAACGCCAGATGTGGAAGTAGAGCTTAAGTGGTAGAGTATCAACCTTTAGCAAAAAAGCTAAGGGACAGTGCCCAGGCTCTGAGTTCAAGCCCCAGAACTGGTATTTTTTTAAAAAATAAAATAAAATAAAAAAGGCTCATCCACATCCTTCCAATTCTGGAAACACTAGAAGTGTTTGTTGAAAAGCTGATTCTTTGGAAAGCTGAGTCCCTAGTAGGTAGAAAACACCTTTGGACAACCCAGTGGTCAAATCCCAATAGGAATATTTGGGTTATATTAAAAATATAATAAAACATTGTAGAGAAGTAATAAGCAGCTATTTTAGTGATACATATTAAAATGATAAAGCATGAGGTGGTTTTAATGGAAAGCAACTCAAATGTTTTTGGGAATTAAGACAATGAATAATTTTATGATGGCCTCAAAAGCAGTATTTTACACATTATCATAATGCTATATTACTAAAAGTTAAGTTTTTAATAACTATTACATTCTTTTCTACAGGCTTGAGAATCAGCTTCCTATTTTGAGAATTACATGACAATATAATCATATATAATTGTTAATACTATGAAAAACTAAAATTGTAGTTGTTTAAAAAAGAGAAGCAAATCCCTCTTTTGTTGGTTATAACACCAAGCTAAGAAAGTGCTCAGGACTGGAAATCAAGAAATGGGGCAGTACAAGGTTCAAGGAGAGGAAGAGGACAAGGGGTCCAGAGAGCCCAGAATGGAGTTACCACAATTGGACAGAGACCAGCTGGTGCTTGATCTATGTACTGTGGGAACCAACTTGACCTTCAATAGTAACTGAAAAATCCAAGTATTTCAGAGCATGCTTAGCAAGAATAGAAATTTTCCCTCACATTACAAAGCACAAAAGGAGATATTCAATTATTTTAAATGAGCTATAATTTATGAATTTTCTTCTTTTTTTGTTAGTTGTGGGGCATGAACTCTGGGCCTGGGCGCTGTCCCTCAGCTCTTCAGCTCAAAGTGAGTGCTCTACCGCTTGAGCCACAGTGCCACTTCTGGTTTTCTGATGGTCCATTGGAGATAAGAGTCTCACGGACTTTCTTGCCCAGGCTGGCTTTGAACCACAATCCTCAGATCTCAGTCTCCTGAGTAGCTAGGATTACAGGCATAAGCCACTGGTACATGGCCTGAGTTTTCTTCTTAATTCATCTTAAAAACTAACCCAAGGAAGAAACATTAAAAAAATAATCTTATGACAGTATTTATAAAGGCACTTAGCATATTCTTTGCAATCTAATTCAAAGGAACATCTTTGTCAACTAACTTTTGGAGTAATTTTTTTTAATGTATTTGTGTGTGTGTTTTGTTGTTTTTTTTTTTGTCGGTAGTGGGGCCTGAACTCTGGGCCTGGGCGCTCCTTCCTCAGCTCTTCAGCTCAAAGCTAGCATCACTTCTGTTTTTTTCTGCTTATGTGGTGCTGAGGAATCAAACCCAGAGCCTCATGCACGCAAGGCAAGCACTCTACCACTGAGCCACCTTCCCAGCTCTAGTGTGTTTTGTTTTTTTGGTGGCTGTGGGGCTTGAACTCTGGGCCTGGACATTATCCTTGAGCTCTTCAGCTCAAGGCTAGCATTCTAATACTTGAGCCACAGTGCCACTTCTGGCTTCTTCTGCTTATGTGGTACTGAGGAATAGAACCCAGGCCCTCATGCATGCGAGGTAAGCACTCTACCATTGGGCCACCTTCCCAGCCCTCCCTGTGTGTTTTTTAAAAACTCTTAATTTAGGGATTTTTTTTTTTGTATAACCTCATGATAATTAGCATCTACAAGACAGAAAGTTTTGAAGGACCAAACCCAACTTTCTACAGAACCTAAAAGTGCTTTCAGCAGGAACAGGAACATTAGTGGTTTGCTCTTTCACTAACAACATCCTGCAGCCGTTTGAGTAAAACATCATCATTTTCTTGGCAGAGGCGTTTAGAAGGGGATTCTGCATCTCCACTGATGGCTATGGATCGCTTCTTGGTTCTCTGCTCACCTTGTCTTATCATGTTGTTGATCTCTTTCAAACTCTGGAAAATGGAGAATGTGTATAAGTAAATAGGGGAAAGAGAAACAGCAATGGAAAAAAAAGTCAACAAAAAACCAGTTAACTCCTTCCTGTCTCAAACTCCTACCCAAATCTAAACATTGGGCTAGTGATTATTGTTTGACTCTATACCAAACTAACAAGGAAGATGGCTAGAACTAGCCTTTTTGGGTGGTTTAGAAAGATGAATGTACCATATACCAATAGTTATTGGAAGTGTAGTAACCACATCAGAAACAGCAAAAGCATCAAGAAACTAATATTAGATCCATGTAATTGTAACCCCTCTGTATAGTATTTTCACAATTAAAAAAAAAAGAAACTAATATTAGAAATAGAAATTCTGATGCCTAACCTTTTACCTTCTACACTTTAAGGGAGGGTCCAGTAACTCATGTTTTAGTGGACATTTCTGATGATTTTGGTGCTCCTTAAAGTTTGGGACCCTCTTCCTCAAAAATAATACTTTTCATGGTGAGAATGATGGAAGTGGTGACACTGATCAAGATGCATTATACTCATAATCTGACTAATTGAATGGAAACTCTTTTGTACAACTACTTAAAATAATAAGAACAAAGGAGTAATGCTTAAAACCTTTAATGCACTTATCAATCATCTAAGGGAATCTTGTGTAAATGCAGATTAAGATTTAGTAGAGCAAGTGTTGGTGTGGGATTCTTTATTTCTAACATGTTCCCAGGTAATGCTGATGTTTGTGAACCAGACTTAGTAGCAAGGTTTCAGAGAACTGTTTCCTGCTGTGCATTATAGTCATGTATAGAGTTAATTTAGAGTTATTTAGAGTTCCAGACTTGCCTGCTAGTACTCTAGTAATTGAGCAGGTCTGTGGAACATGCATCTGTGTTCAACAGATTCATGTTGAACTGAGTCTGTTGAAACCATGTGGTTCTGACTCATGGTTCTAGAATCACTGCCATAGGCCAGGTGCCAGGTGGCTCACTGCCTGAAATCCTAGCTTATCAGGAAGCTGAGATCTGAGGATCACAATTCAAAGCCAGCAAGGAATGGAAAGTTAATGAGATTCTAATCTCCAATTAACCACCAGAAAACTAGAAGTGGAACTGTGGCTCAAGTGGTAGAGTACTGGCCTTGAGCTGAAGAGCTCAGGGACAGTGTCCAGACCCAGGGTTCAAGCCCTATAATGGACAAAAAACAAAACAAAACAAAAAGAATCACTGCCTTAGAAGCTTTGCATGCCCAATTCAATCATTATATTTTTGATAAAGAATATTTCTAAAAGGTTACCTAAGAGGAGGCCTCTGTTTTCAGACTTTTCAACAATCCATGTTACCATCCATTAACTTCAAAGACTTTTTTTTTTTGGGTCCAGTCATGGGGCTTGAACTCTGGGCCTGGGCGCTGTCCCTCAGCTCTTCAGCTCAAGGCTAGCGCTCTACCACTTGAGCCACGGCACCACTTCCGGCTTTTTTCTTTTTTGCTTATGTGGTGCTGAGGAATCAAATCCAGGGCCTCATGCATGCAAGGCAAGCGCTCTACCACTGAGCCAACTTCCCAGCCCTCAAAGATTTTTTTTTTAACTTAACATTCCATACTTGAGTGCACTACTTGGGATACTGAAGCAGGAGCATTACTTGAGCACAAAAGTTGGAGGCCAGTTTGGGCAACATATAAAGATCCTGTTTCAAAGAAACAAAATATGTCCAATCACTTCCTCTTGAAAGTCATGCTGAAACTGGGAAACATAATGGCTTCTTGAAGTCAACTTTCCAAATACCATATCAACAACAAATATAACAACATAATCTTTTTCATTTTCTTTTCTTGTGTGTATGTGGATCTGGGGATTGAACTATGGCCTTATATATGCAAGATAAGCAATAAGCTGCATCCCTGATGTGAATATACTGCCTTTTTTTTTTTTGTCTGTTGTGGGGCTTGAACTCTGGGCTTGGGACTGTTCCTGAGCTCTTCAGCTCAAGATGGGCGCTCTACTGCTTGAGCTACAGTGCCACTTCCGGTTTTCTAGTGGTTTATTGGAGATAAGAGTCTCACAGCCTTTCCTGGGCTGGCTTTGAATCGTGATCCTCAGAAGCTGGGATTACAGGCGTGAGTCACTGGCGCCCAGCTATATACTGCCTTTTATTATGTAGTCCAGGCTTGCTTTGAACTCAAGATCCTCCTGTATCTGCTGATTACTCTTAGGAATATATAGACAGGAGTTTGTCATTATGTCCAGCTTAATATACAAACTATTTTTCTCTTTCAATACTAGCACTTGAACTCAGGGTCTTGTGATTATTAGACAAATGCTATGCCATTTGGACCATGCCTCCAGCCTGGCATTTTTGCTATTTATATATATATTTTTGTGCCAGTTCTGGGATATCAACTCAGGGCTTGAATGCTATCCCTGAAGTTTTTGCTCGAGGCCAATTCTCTAGCACTTGAGCCACAGCTCCACTTCAGACTTGGTAGTTAATCAGAGATAAGAATCTCACACAGAGTTCTTGCCCAGGCTGGCTTCAAACTGCAATCCTCAGATCTCAGCCACCTGAGTAGTTAGGATTACAGGCATGAGCCCCCAGCACCTGGCACTTTGTTGGTGGTGGTGATGGTGCGTGAACTCAGGGCCTGGTCACTGTCCCTGAGCTTTTCACTCAAGGCTAACAGTCTACTACTTTGGAGATAAGAGTTTCACAGACTTTCCTGCCCAGACTGGCACTGAATCATGATCCTCAGATCTCAGCCACCTGAGTAGCCAAGATTACAGGTTTGAGCCACTGGCACTTGGCCAGCACCTGGATGTTTGCTGGTTATTTTGAAGATGGAGTTTCATGGATCTTTTCTTTTTTTTTGGTCCGGTCATGGGGCTTGAACTCTGGGCCTGGGTGCTGTCCCTCAACTCTTCAGCTCAAGGATAGTGCTCTACCACTTGAGCCACAGTGCCACTTCCGGCTTTTTTTCTTTTTGCTTATGTGGTGCTGAGGAATCGAACCCAGGGCCTCATGCATGCAAGGCAAGTGCTCTGCCACTGAGCCACCTTCCCAGCCCCTCATGGACCTTTTCTGTCTGGACTAACTTTAAACTTTGATCCTCCATATCTTAGCTTCCTGACTAGCTAGAATTATAGGCATGAGCTACTGGCACTCAGCTTTAGGTTATGTTTTTATTTATTTATTTATTTTTATTGTGAAAATACTGTACAAAGGGGTTACAATTACATGGGCAAGATAATGAGTACATTTCTTATCAAGCATTGTAGCCTCCTCCTTTGTTTCCCCTTCCCATCCCTTCGTATCCTTCCCCTCCCCCCCCCCCCGCCCCGGCCCCCCCACCAAAGTTGTAAAGTTCGTTTTTCGAAATAACGACTTCTACATCTCATTGTTGCAATGGGTCCTCCTGTATCCCTGTTTTTATGATTTGTTTTTTCCCTTCCCCTCCACATATACCAACATCATATATAGTGAAAGCAGGGGTGGGACATACAAAGCATTTAGGTTATGTTTTAGACAGAGTTTTATGCTTTTGCCAAGTACCAGCCTGGGCTAGGATCCTTCTACCTAAGGCTTTCCACCTAGCTAGGATCACATGTGTGTGAGCCACCACACTTGGCTTATTGGTTAAGATGGGGTCTTGTTTAACTTTGATTCAATCTCTGCTTATCACTTATTGGGGATTTCAGCCTTAATACAATGCTCTTGATCATAGGAAAAACAGTATAATTAATATTTTATTCATAGTAACTTTAGAAAAAGGATTAATGATTACTGTTTGGTAAGTTGGAATCTTTTTTTTGAAGTTACTTCAAAATCCTGACTTGAAATTCAACCTCAAATTAAGTTAATAAATTAAGTAAGATGTTTTGGATATAGTAGTCTTTATGTATCTTACCTTTGAAGGGCTACCACTGAACCTGTACAGCAGAGCACTGCTTGGTGTAAGGCTGGATCCATTCTTGTGAGGGGAAATATAAACAGAGTGCTGCTGAGAAATGCGGCGTGGTGAGCCTGGCTGTTGCTTAATGTGTGGAAAAGGAGACAGTGGTGGAGCATCCATCTAAAATGACCCAAAAAATAAGATTCATAAATAATTTTTTGAATCCCATCATATGTTCATTTTTATAACATGTCTGGTTACATTGAGTCAGTTATATTGTAACTGCTATTTATGGCTGAAAAAGCAAAAAAAAAAGGGGGGGTCCATTACTACTTTTCAACAAGCTAGAATTTATTACTTTGGTTCTTTTAGGAAATCTTGTAACTGGAATTAGGAATTCTGGAAAATCAAGTATGGAAGTACGTGCCTGTAATCCCAGCACTCAAGAGCTAAGGCAAGATGACTTCAAGTTCGAGATTAGCCTGATATAGTCTTGAGACCCTCTCTCAGAAAGAATAACAAAACTCTGAGGCAAGCCAGAGCTGGTGGCTCATGCCTATAATCCTAACTACCCAAGAGGCTGAGATCTGAGAATCATGACTCAAAGCCAGCCCCGGCAGGGAAGTCACCTTGAGACTCTTTATCTCCAATTAACCACTCAAAAACTGCTGGCTCAGGGCTGGGAAGGTGGCTCAGTGGTAGAGTGCTTGCCTTGCATGCATGAGGCTCTGGATTCAGATTTCTCAGCACCACATAAGCAGAAAAAGCTGGAAGTGGCACTGTGGCTCAAGTGGTAGAGTGCTAAAGAGCTGATGGACAGAGCCCAGGCCCAGAGTTCAGGCCCACGACTGACAAAAACATAAACAAAACCACTGCTGGCTCAAGTAGTAGAGAGTTGAAGACTAAGGGACAGCGCGTAGGCCCAGAGTTTAAGAACCACAACTGACAAAACAAAACAAAACCTCTAAGGCAAGTTACTAGGAGTGACTAGCCAGGAGTATGGGGAACCCAGGTTCGCATTTAGAAAACAGGTATTGGACTGAGCAGTGTAGCTCAGGATCTATTCCTCACGAATGAGGCCCTGGGTTCAATTTTCAGCAACAAAGCAAAATCAAAGAAAGTAGGAACCAGGAGTAACTAATGTTCTAGCACTTGCAAAGCACGCGCGTGCGCGTGCGCGCGCGCACGCACACGCACACACACACACACACTCCCTACAACTAAGACAGTAGTGAGAAAAATGAGAGATGGAATTCTGTGAGCCACAACAATCCAACAAATATGTGAATGAAATGGGGAAAACCTCATAAAGATTTAGAAATAGGTAAGGATTTCATTTCTCTTTAATATTCTCTATAACAGAAATGGTTTCTAAACTAATATTCATTGTCTTCATGTGAGATTAATAAAAGTTTCAGTCAGCTGTGGGAAAAGATAGTCATAGCCCAGAATATGACAGGAGAGGCTGAATTAATGAGGTCAGATCATTGCGTTTCTGAGGCTAACAAACCAGTTTCTTTGAAAGTGGAAATAATAAAAATGTAGAGATGTGTAGTTCTCATTAGGTCCTTTTTGTTGTTGTGTGTTGTTTAGGAAATAAGGTCTTGCTACTAGCTCAGGGTAGCCTTGAACTTGGGATATTCCTGCCTTAGCCTCCCATGTGCTAGGGTTCTAGACATGAGCTGTCTCACCCAGGTTGGGCAAAAAGACTGTTTCTTTTTTGTGGGGGGGGGGGGTCCGGTCGTGGGGCCTGAACTCTGGGCCTGGGC